CACACCATGCTCGGTCCCTCAGCTCGTCCTCATTGTCCTCCTCTTCATCATCTCTGGCAGCAGACGCCGGTCCACATCCACTACACAGGCTGGAAGTGATGTCAGCGAAGGAAGTGATCTGAGAGCCCAGGAACATTACTCACACTTCACTGCTGTCTGTCTGTGTCCCCAACAAGGGGTGCATGTGGAGTCTGGGGGTGCAGAATGAGGGAGCTGGGTGACATGGGGGTGGCAGGGTGAGGGAGTTGGGTGACATGGGGGTGCAGGATGATATGGGGATGTAGGGTAAGGGAGCTGGGTGCCATGGGGGTGGCAGGGTGATATGAGGGGGCAGGGCGACTGGGGGGTGGCAGGGTGATATGAGGGGGCAGGGCGACTGGGGGGTGGCAGGGTGATATGAGGGGGCAGGGCGACTGGGGGGTGGCAGGGTGATATGAGGGGGCAGGGCGACTGGGGGGTGGCAGGGTGATATGAGGGGGCAGGGCGACTGGGGGGTGGCAGGGTGATATGAGGGGGCAGGGCGACTGGGGGGTGGCAGGGTGATATGAGGGGGCAGGGCGACTGGGGGGTGGCAGGGTGATATGAGGGGGCAGGGCGACTGGGGGGTGGCAGGGTGATATGAGGGGGCAGGGCGACTGGGGGGTGGCAGGGTGATATGAGGGGGCAGGGCGACTGGGGGGTGGCAGGGTGATATGAGGGGGCAGGGCGACTGGGGGGTGGCAGGGTGATATGAGGGGGCAGGGCGACTGGGGGGTGGCAGGGTGATATGAGGGGGCAGGGCGACTGGGGGGTGGCAGGGTGATATGAGGGGGCAGGGCGACTGGGGGGTGGCAGGGTGATATGAGGGGGCAGGGCGACTGGGGGGTGGCAGGGTGATATGAGGGGGCAGGGCGACTGGGGGGTGGCAGGGTGATATGAGGGGGCAGGGCGACTGGGGGGTGGCAGGGTGATATGAGGGGGCAGGGCGACTGGGGGGTGGCAGGGTGATATGAGGGGGCAGGGCGACTGGGGGGTGGCAGGGTGATATGAGGGGGCAGGGCGACTGGGGGGTGGCAGGGTGATATGAGGGGGCAGGGCGACTGGGGGGTGGCAGGGTGATATGAGGGGGCAGGGCGACTGGGGGGTGGCAGGGTGATATGAGGGGGCAGGGCGACTGGGGGGTGGCAGGGTGATATGAGGGGGCAGGGCGACTGGGGGGTGGCAGGGTGATATGAGGGGGCAGGGCGACTGGGGGGTGGCAGGGTGATATGAGGGGGCAGGGCGACTGGGGGGTGGCAGGGTGATATGAGGGGGCAGGGCGACTGGGGGGTGGCAGGGTGATATGAGGGGGCAGGGCGACTGGGGGGTGGCAGGGTGATATGAGGGGGCAGGGCGACTGGGGGGTGGCAGGGTGATATGAGGGGGCAGGGCGACTGGGGGGTGGCAGGGTGATATGAGGGGGCAGGGCGACTGGGGGGTGGCAGGGTGATATGAGGGGGCAGGGCGACTGGGGGGTGGCAGGGTGATATGAGGGGGCAGGGCGACTGGGGGGTGGCAGGGTGATATGAGGGGGCAGGGCGACTGGGGGGTGGCAGGGTGATATGAGGGGGCAGGGCGACTGGGGGGTGGCAGGGTGATATGAGGGGGCAGGGCGACTGGGGGGTGGCAGGGTGATATGAGGGGGCAGGGCGACTGGGGGGTGGCAGGGTGATATGAGGGGGCAGGGCGACTGGGGGGTGGCAGGGTGATATGAGGGGGCAGGGCGACTGGGGGGTGGCAGGGTGATATGAGGGGGCAGGGCGACTGGGGGGTGGCAGGGTGATATGAGGGGGCAGGGCGACTGGGGGGTGGCAGGGTGATATGAGGGGGCAGGGCGACTGGGGGGTGGCAGGGTGATATGAGGGGGCAGGGCGACTGGGGGGTGGCAGGGTGATATGAGGGGGCAGGGCGACTGGGGGGTGGCAGGGTGATATGAGGGGGCAGGGCGACTGGGGGGTGGCAGGGTGATATGAGGGGGCAGGGCGACTGGGGGGTGGCAGGGTGATATGAGGGGGCAGGGCGACTGGGGGGTGGCAGGGTGATATGAGGGGGCAGGGCGACTGGGGGGTGGCAGGGTGATATGAGGGGGCAGGGCGACTGGGGGGTGGCAGGGTGATATGAGGGGGCAGGGCGACTGGGGGGTGGCAGGGTGATATGAGGGGGCAG